GGGGACGGGATCTAGAGCAAAAGCACAAGGGCAGCGTTAGGAGCAGCACTGCGGAGAAGGGAAGCGGGGGACGGGAAAGGCGGGAGCGTCATCCGCTCCCTGTCCTGCTCCGACCTCCTTACGGGATTTGTCCCGTGTCCCCAGAATGATGCACGTTACAGAGCTCAGGTCATATAGATTTTATAACGTTTAATATGATGACATTTATCATGAAATATAGCTCCCTAAGCTTTTCTTTTCTTTTTCTTTTTTTTTGCTAGCGGGCTAAGAATTAGATCAATGACACCTTGGCCCTGCAGAGCCATTGATCACTGTCCTCTTACAAACAACAATTGCCTTGGCCCTCCTTCCTCCCCCTTCTCTTGCCTAGACTAACCGCACCAAATCCCTTTAACCTTTCCTGGCCCTGGGTTTCCTGAACGTCTGCTCTTTCTTGCTGCTCTGTGCTGTGCTCCCTGCAGCTCGGCTACCTGCGAAAATGTCTCATTTCTGAATAGATGTCTCATTTCTGAATAAACGCCTCATTTCTGAACTGCGTAATAGCAGCATAAGGAAAGCGTGAGCCCCCTGCAGAGCACTCAGTGCCTGGCGCGGGGCCGAGCATCAGGGACCTGGGAACAGCCAGCGCCAGGTACGGGAAATGCCGGGAAGCGGCCGCAGTGCCATCATGAATCACATTGATGCTGCCCGGACTCACGGCCGGGGCCTGGTCTCTGCACGGCAAACAGAGCGGCTGTGCCGGGGGGACGCAGGCTGCAGCTTACGCAGTATAAATTAAATCAAATAAATCCTAATTAAATTCATTAGCTCAACAAATTGGACCGTTTGTCTCCCTAAGCGCGTGTTTGCGTCGCGTCGTGTTTGCGGAGCCGCAGCCAGGTTCGCCCGACGGCTGAAAACTGCGGTCTGCATCCCGGCTGCTAGATGCTCCAGGGGAGAAATTCCCGGCCAGGAACGGGGACTTTCCATGATTTCTGCTGGGGGCAGGAAGGTGCAACGTGTGTGCGGCTGGAGCTGGGATCTGGCGTTTTGCTCCCCAGGGGGATGCATCCCGCTGACGGCATCAATGCGGAGCACGCGGCTCGCGGAGCCCTGCGGTTTGGCAGGAGGCTTTAACGGAGCTCGGGGAAGAGGGATGCGCTCCTTGCCTAGGCACAAAGCACCGGTCAGGCTCATTTTACATTTAAGATTTTGGCAGGGCTGTCTGCAATCTGCAAAGCTGAAGCCTGGGCTCACTTGATTCATCTCAAAGGATGAAGGAAAGGATTCATCCCTATCATTCCTGCAGGGATGCGCTAATGCTCCGCAGCCCCTGCCCCCCACAGCCTGCTGGGCTGCTGACAGCGTGGCCTGCACCGAAGCTGCGGGAGGACTTTGTTTTCCCAATACAAATGATTTTCCCTCCTCCCAAATGATGCCGGAGCAGCCAGGCTCGGTGCAGGGAAAATGCTCCATTGCTCCGGCAGAGAGGGGTTTATCTCCCGAGGATGCAGCGGCATCCGGAGAGGGACGGGGGCTCCCACAGCAAGCGCCTGGCACCGTGGTGGCATCGCGGTCCTCCCTGCGCTCACGCCTCCCATGCACTGACTGCCAAGAAAAGGGCACTGTCACCACCCTGCTGCCCTGCGGTTGCAAAACGGCCTGGGCACGCGCGCCTGCACGGAGAGCAGCGGCAGCTCGCGGGGGACTGCTGCTCGGAATCGCTCTTGGCAATAATCAATCACTTTGGGGGTGATGGGGGCCTGAAACCAGCCTTCAAGGCACAGAGGGGAAGCCAGGAGCTGCCTGCTGTGGTGCCTGGGGCAGCCGTCTGGTCCCTGCATCCCACTGGGCACCTGAAATTCCAGCCGAGACACCGAAATTCCCTCTGGATGCAGGGGATAGGGCACATTTCCAGCCCCAGCATTGCTGAAGGCAGTAGGAGAGCCCTTGCTGAGCACCCCCCAGACTCGGCCACCCTCTCCCGGTGGCCTCCGGAGCCCGTGGGCTCCCACGGAGCGCCAGATCCCAGCCAGCACTTATCCAAAGCGACGGCTTCTCTCCCTCATCCCGGCATCCCGGCCCGGAGGAGGCCTCTCCGAGGGGAACTGCCCCAGTGCCCCGTGTCCTCCTGGAGAGCCCGGGCGCGCGGAAAGCAGAGCCTTAAACATACCTGCCTTGATCAGGTGCGGCGGGGGCGGCTGCCCGGGCGGCCTCGAGAACATCAGCCTCTTGGAGTCCACCAGGAGCCGGCAGTAGCCCGCGATGAGACCCGCGGAGGTGGGCGGCGCAAGAGCCCTGGGGTGCTCGGGAAGATGCAGGAGCCCCCGATCCCCATCGTATCCCTAAACCCCTTCCTTACACGCAGCCATCTGCTTGTAGGGACCGGCAGGAGGGGTAAGAAACCCCCCGCGGGCCCTGCCAGCCGCCACTCAGAGCCCGGCGAGTCTCACTTAAAACCAACCCACTGGAAAACCAGCTTGGTGCCCGGAGCAGATGGTGCCTTCTCTTCTAGGGGAGCATTTGTTCTGCTAAAACCGGTTCTAAAGCGAGGACGGGGGCAGCCAGGAGCAGGGTGGCGGGTCTGGCCCTGTGACGCGACGCAGCGACGGACACGGAGATTCCCTCCCGCGGAGCCGGCACGGACGGGGATGGCACTCGCAGGACCAGGGTCCCTGGGCTGGCACGGCGAGGTCCGGCTTTTGCAATGCACCAAGTCCAGGTGCAAAGCCCAGAGCGGTGCCGCAAGCCCCGCTATCCCAGGTGTAACAACGTTCATCAGTCCTCAGCTGCCGTGCTAGGGTGGGAGGAGAAGCAACGCGGCAAAGCGGCGAGGCTCGGCCCAGGGGCTCCGCTCCCGCTGCTCGACAAGGCGGGTTAAGCATCACGGCAAATAAAACGGAGCTGACACCGACCCA